TCTGGGACCTGATCTGAAGTATCCCAGAATGTTGTGGGAAGTAAGGGAGGAAATTATGAGACCCCTTGCAGAAATATTTGCATCATCTATAACTACGGTTGAGGTGCCTGATGACTGGAGGATGGTTAATGTTGCACTTTTGTTTAAGAAAGGTGGTGAGGAGAAATCGGGGAATTACAGACCTGTGGGTAAATTGTTTGAGGTGATTATAAAAGGTAAAATTAATGGACATTTAGAGAGACACAAATTGTTTAAGGATAGTCAGTTTGGTTTTGTATGAGGAAAATTGTGTCTCACAAACTAGATTGGGTTTTTTTGAGGCAATTACCGAAAAGATTAATGATGGCAGAGCAGTAGACATTGTTTATTTGGATTTAAGTAAAGCCTTTGACAAGGTTCCGCATGGTAGACTAATTAGTAAAATTAGGTCACATGGGATTCGGGGTGAGCTTGCCAATTGGATACAGAATTGGCTTAACGGCAGGAGACAAAATAATGGTGGGAGGGTTGCTTTTTGCACTTGAGGCCTGTGACCAGTGGTGTTCCACAGGGATCGGTTCTGGGTCCTCTCTTGTTTGTCATTTATATAAATGATTTGGATGAGAATAAAGAAGGCTTGTTCAGTAAGTTTGGGGATGACACCAAAATTGGTTACATTGTAGACAGTGAAGAAGGCTTTCTAAGACGAGGAAGGAATCTTGATCAAATGCATCAATGGGCTGAACAATGGCAGATGGAATTCAGTCTGGATAAATGTAAGATATTGCATTTTGGTACAGCAAGTAAGGATAGGGGTTATACAATTAATGGTAGGGCTTGGGTAGTGTTGTAGAACAAAGGGACCTAGGGGTACAGGTACATAATTCTTTAAAGTTTGTGTCACATTTAGACAGGATGGGCAAAAAAGCATTTGGCATGCTTGCCTTCATTGCTCAGTCCTTCAAGTATAGGAGTTGGGGCAAAAACAAAGTTGCTGGAAAAGCTCAGCAGGTCTGGCAGCATCTGTGGAGGAGAAAACAGAGTTAACGTTTCGGGTCCGGTGACCCTTCCTCACAACTGATGGTGGCTGGGAAAACGTCAGTTTATATGCAGAAAATAGGCAGGTGGGTGGGGTAGGGAGTAAACGATAGGATAGAGCCCAAAGAGAGAGAAAGACAGTTGGACAGACAAAGGAGACGCTAATGATCAGGCTGGGAGGGTGAATAGTTGTTAATGGGGACTGTTAGTGACTAACAACAGGGGGTGTGTAGTGGCAGGCTATGTAGTAACAAGGCCTGGTGTGTGGGGTGGGGGGATGGGACATGGGAGAGTTTAGGCCCTAAAATTATTGAACTCAATATTGAGTCTGGAGGGCTGTAGGGTCCCCAAGCGGAAAATGAGGTGTTGTTCCTCCAGCTTGCGCTGGGCTTCACTGGAACACTGTAGCAAGCCGGAGACAGAGATGTTGGCCAGGGAGCAAGGTGGTGCACCGAAGTGGCAGGCAACAGGTAGTCCAGGGTCTATTTTGCGAGCAGAACGTAGATGTTCTGCGAAGCGGTTGTCAAGCCTATGCTTCGTTTCCCCAATGTAGATGAGACCACATTGTGAGCAGCGAATGCAGTAGACTAGATTCTTGGAAATGTAGGTGAAGTGTTGCTTCACCTGGAAGGTATTTTTGGGCCCTTGGATACTGAGGAGGTAGGAGGTAAATGGGCAGGTGTTGCACTTCGCCGGTTACAGGGGAAGGTGCCGTAGGGCTGTGGGGAGGTGTTGGGGGTGAAGGAAGTATGGACCAGGGTATCCCAGAAGGAATGGTCCCTGCGGAAGGCGGACAAGGGAGGGGAGGGGAATATGTGTCTGGTGGTGGCATCTTGCTGGAGGTGGCAAAAATGGCGTCAGATGATCTTCTGGATGTGGATGCTGGTGGGATGGTAGGTGAGGATAAGGGGAACCCTATCGCTGTTGCGGGAGGGAAGAGAAGGGGTGAGGGCAGAAGTACGGGAGATGGGTTGGACCCGATTGGGGGCCCTGTCGACAACGGAGCTGGGGAATTCTCGGTTGAGGAAGAATGTGGACATTTTGGAGGCTCCCTTTTCGAAGTTGGCCTCATCTGAACATATGCGACGGAGACGGAGGAACTGAGAGAATGGCATGGAGTCTTTACAGGAAGTGGGGTGTGAGGATGTATAGTCCAGGTAGCTGTAGGAGTCGGTGGGTTTATAATGGATACCCCCGCTGCTCACAATGTGGTCGCCTCTACATTGGGGAAACGAAGCGTAGGCTTGGCGACGGCTTCGCAGAACATCTACGTTCTGCTTGCAAAATAGACCCTGGACTACCTGTTGCCTGCCACTTCGGTGCACCACCTTGCTCCCTGGCCAACATCTCTGTCTCCGACTTGCTACAGTGTTCCAGTGAAGCCCAGCGCAAGCTGGAGGAACAACACCTCATTTTCCGCTTGGGGACCCTACAGCCCTCCAGACTCAATATTGAGTTCAATAATTTTAGGGCCTAAACTCTCCCATGTCCCATCCCCCCACCCCACACACCAGGCCTTGTTACCACATAGCCTGCCACTACACACCCCCTGTTGTTGGTCACTAACAGTCCCCATTAACAACTATTTACCCTCCCAGGCTGATTGTTAGCAACTCCTTTGTCTGTCCAACTGTCTTTCTTTCTCTTTGGGCTCTATCCTATCGTTTACTCCCTACCCCACCCACCTGCCTATTTTCTGCATATAAACTGACGTTTTCCCAGCCACCACCAGTTCTGAGGGTCACCGGACCCGAAACGTTAACTCTGTTTTCTCCTCCACAGATGCTGCCAGACCTGCTGAGCTTTTCCAGCAACTTTGTTTTTGTTCCTGATTTACAGCATCCACAGTTCTTTTGGTTTTTATTGGAGTTGGGGCGTTATATTGAGGTTATATAGGACATTGGTGAGGCCTCTTCTGGAATACTGTGTCCATTCCGGTCACCCACTTATAGGAAAGATATTATCAAGCTGGAGAGAGTTCAGAAGAGATTTCCTAGGATGTTGCTGGGTATGGAAAGTTTGAGTTATAAGGAAAGGCTGGATATGCAGGGAGTATTTTTACTGGAGCGTAGGAGGTTAAGAGGTGACCTGATAGAAGTTTATAAAATAATGAGAGAGAGAGAGATGGAATGATGGTAGTTGTTTTTTCTCTAAGTTGGGGAATTTCAAGATTATGGGGCACATTTTTAAGGTGAGAGGAGAGAGATTTAAAGGGCATGAGAGGCAAATTTTTTACATGGGGTGGTTCACGTGTAGAGTGAACTTCCTGATGAAGTAGTGGATGTGGGTACAATTACAACATTTGAAAGGCATTTGGATGAATATATGAATAGGAAAGGTTTTGGGAAATATAGGCCTGGAGCAGGCAGGTGGGGCTAGTTTAGTTTGGCATTAAGTTTGGCATGGCCTGTTTCCGTGCTGTATGAACCTGTGACTCTATAATGAGGGGAGAACTTGTAGAAGCATATAAAATGATGAAGGGAAGAGATAAGATAGAAGCAGGGAGGATGTTTCCACTGGCGGGTGAAACTAGAACTAGGGGGCATAGCCTCAAAATTAGGGGGAGCAGATTTAACAACTGAGTTGAGGAGGAACTTATTCACCCAAAGGGCTGTGAATCTGTAAGATTCCCTGTCCAGTGAAGTAGTTGAGACTTCCTCATTGAATGTTCTTATAGCCCAGATAGATAATTTTTTGAACAGTAAAGGAATTAAGGGTTATGGTGAGAGGGTGAGTAAGTGGAACTGAGGCCATGAAAAGATCAACCATGATCTGGTTCAATGGCAGAGTGGGTTCGAAGGGCCAGATGGCCTACTCCTGCTCCTGGTTCTTATGTTCTAATATTGTTACCTATGGCTCTGGAAAAGTCACGTGAATAGTTTTAAACTTTAAGCTTGGCAGTAGTTTGCTCTTCCTTGTGCTTTTATCCTAGTGAGCTGTAAGTAACTGAGTTGAGGCATTATGAGAAAAAGCTTGAACACTTTAATAGAGCCTAAGGCAGCTGGTGGTGACAGTGGGAGTAAGTTTCCCATGGCAGTAACAGGAACAGGCTGCAAGGCAGTGAGAGCAGGCAGCCCGCAGCACGGTCAAGGTTGACCCTTGTGAGGAGTGCGGGTCCTGCGTGGCCAGGCGCTAATGGACTGTGGTGTTGAACTGTTAGCTGTGTTTCTTTGTTTTTCCACCTTTTAGTAAGAAGGACTGAATTGTTTAACTTATTAACTTTGTTTTCCCTATTTTTCTGCTTTGTACCTAAGATTCTGTACCTAGGTACCTTTGTACCTGAGATGGTGCTGTAAATGGCCATTTGTAAACTTTTTAACTGTACTCCTGTGAGTGCATGTGACAATGAACCCATTTCAATTCAGAGCTGTGGCATCCTTGAAAGGTTCCTGACAGAAATACGGTGAACGTGTCAGAACTGTATTAGTGTGTTGCTTTTGTACATTGCATGTAATGGATTTTACATAAGGATAGTATATCCATCGAATAGCTTATGGCAAAACATTCAGGTTAAATTATAGTGGGATATCACCAATTTTCAGCTTTTGTTTGATTTGTTACAGGAGGAAGAAATAACGAGCAAAACTGCCAATTTGTGTATTTGAACACAGATGCAATAAAAACAAACTTGCACATCTACTAGAAAATAATGTTTCATGATGAAAAACAAATTTCCTTGGAATTTGTTTGACCTAATTATGGTTATATAATCATCAGAAAATGTTTTCCAAATTAACCTACCAGTATTTTTAGATTCCATTGCATTGATTAAAATATGTTAGTCACAAATGCGTATGCATACATAATGATTGGTTCCTGAGATTGAATTCAGAGTATTGATCCAACTAACAGACATATTCAGGATTATAATTGAATTCTGTCTACACCAATAGTCGAAAATTACATTTATGTCTTCTAGTTTTAATACTGTTGTCTTATGAATGCAAGTGTTTGTGATATGTACACATTTTTTGTTCCTCCAGCCTGCAACATCCAAAATGCATGCCATCATTGAACGTACAGCAAAATTTGTCTGCAAGCAGGGCACACAATTTGAAATCATGCTGAAAGCTAAACAAGCCCAGAATTCGCAATTTGATTTTCTGCGTTTTGATCACTATCTGAATCCATACTACAAGCACATACTCAAAACCATGAAAGAAGGGAAATATGTTGTTCAGACAGAAAAAAGAATTGAAGAGAAAAGGAGTAAGTTGAACTATTTCTGATCACTTTTCATCAACTGATTCCAAATGGGATCCTACAATTTGATAACTTTTGCATTCTGTGAATTTGCAAGATTTACTGCTTGAGAAATAAGCCCAATTTTTATGGGGATGAAGCAGGCAGAGGGATTGATATTGCATTTTTGTATGTAAATTGAAAGTATCCAGTGAGCCTTGAAATTGGTAAGTGACCAAGTTGGGGCTGTGCACATGTACACGATGCAGCTTAGCTAGATAGTCAGCATGGATTTGTTGGAGGGCCATCCTGTCTGACTAATTTAAGTTTTTTTGAAAAGATGACTAAATGTAATTGATGAGGGTAGTGCAGTTGATGGACTTCACTAAGGCCTTTGACAAGGTCCCACATGGAAGGCTGGTGAAAGAATGCATGGGATTCAGTGAAAGTTGGCAAACTGGATCCAAAATTGGTTTGCAAATAGGAGGCAAAGGGTGATGATGGAGGGTTGTTTTTGTGATTGGAAACCTGTGATCAGTAGTGTAAAACAGGAGTTGCTGCTGAAACCGTAAGACCCTTGCTATTTGTTATGTTCATTAACAACCCGGATATGAATGTCAAAAGTATCATTAGTAAGCTTGCAGATGACATGAAAATTAGTGATGTTGTTCACAGTGCGAAGAATGGTCTTTGGCTACAGTGTGATATTGAACAGCTAATTATTGGGCAGAACAATGGCAAATGAAGTTTAACTCTGATAAGTGAGGCATTTTGGGAGGTCTAATAAGGGAAGGAGAGTTCCAGGGAGTTCTGAGAAACAAAGGGAGCTTCATGTACTAGTCCATAAATTCATGAAGATGTCAGCACAGCTGGTAGGGTGGTGAAGGAGGTATCCAGGATTCTTGCTTTCATGAACCGAGCAAGGAAATCTTGTTGCAACTTAAAATTACAAATTAAACATTGGTTAGATCATAGATGGAATATTCTTTTTTTAATTCATTCACTGAATGTGGGCATCGCTGGCTAGGCCAGCATTCATCGCCCCATCCCTAATTGCCCAGTTGAGTGTCAGTCACATTACTTTGGGTCTGGAGTTATATGTAGGCCAGGCTAGGTAAGGACAGCAATTTTCTTTCCCTGAAGGATGTTAGGAAACCAGATGGGTTTTTCCTGACAATCAGCAATGGTTTCATGGTCATTATTAGACTTTCAATTCCAAATTTTTTATTGAAATCAGATTCCACTGGTGGGATTCGAGCCCAAGTCACCAGGACATTACTTAGGTGATAATACCACTAGGCCATCACCTGCCCCTGTTCGTTTGTGGTCACCACACTATCGGAAGGACGTGATTTGCACTGGAGAGGGTGCAGAGGAGATTCACCAGCATGTTGCCTGTGATAGAAAGATTCAATTATGAGGAGAAACTGGATAAGCTGTGTTTGCTTTCCTTGCTGGAACACCCCTCCAGCAGCACTTCACATGGACAACACTACTTTTTAAGGACCTAAGAGATTGACAGTAAATTATCCATGCCTGTGATGTCCACATCCCGTGAATGAATTTAAGAAGTGACAGAGAGGATCAATAGTGTAATGGAGAGCCACTGTCCATAGTGTTCCACATTTTTTTTCCTAACAGTGGATTTTATCAAGAGCTGAGGTGCTGAATGTCATATCCTATTCTTAAAAAATGAAGAGGCTGAACCAGGCAGTTACAGAGCTGAGTTATCCCCATGTCAGTGGGAAAACTGCCAGAGGCCATAAAGGGTAGCACTATATATTTAGAAAGTCATAAGCTAATTTAACGTGGGCAGCAAGGATTTCTAAAGGGCAGGTTGTGCTTGCTTAATCAAATTAAGAAAATTAGAAAACATAAGGAAATGTAATGGATTTTCTGTATTTGGATTTTATAAAATCTATATTATAAAGTGTTGCATGATTTTTGTAAGAGAAATTAATGTGGTACCAAAAACAGATGAAGGTTAGCAAGGAGGGAATAGGATTAAATTATTTTTGAATTGGTGATACGTGATTAGTCTGCCACAAGTCTCTTGGAAATTGCTAGTTATTCAGACTTATTCATGATTTGCACGCTGAACTGATGTTAAGACCTTTTAGACTGTGTTCAGTAGAGTAGTATGGCAAACAAGGTTTCAGCAAGACGCAGGCAGGATTTGGTAAAGGTATGGCAAATGCAGTTAAATTGCCATAAACTGGCAAGAGTGTAGTCTGAATAAAAGAATAGAGAATGGAAATCTAACGTTAAATAGCAAAATTCTTTATGATGTGGAGGAACAAAGAACTGAGTTAGAAATGCAGTGTTCTATAGAAAGACTGTGGAAATGTTAGTTTTTCAAGAAAGTTTAGGTGCCCTTGTTCAGGACTTACAAGAGGTTAACATGCAGGTACTGCACCCAGTTAGGAAAGCAAAGGATATGCATTATAAAGACTTTTAAGAACAAAGAAGCATTGCTACAATTTCTTTGATGAAATCGCATCTTGATTACAATGGGGTTGTAAGAGTTGGCGGAGTGCGAATATTATCCCCTGTCTGGAGTAACTGAAATTAAGTCTCAATCTCCATGAAGAGTTGGCATTTAGGACTGAGGTGAGGAGAAATTTCTTCACTCAGAGATGATGTGATACTCTCAAATTTTGTGCCCCATGTCTTTGAATATCTTCAAGTCCAATTTTAATACATATTTGGATACACAGGCAATCAAAGTATATGCACTAGAAGGTGTAGCTGATGTAGAAGGTCAGCCATTATTGAACAATGGAGCAGGTTCAAAGACCAAAATGTTACATTCTAAAAGCGTGATTGCATTTGGAAATATTACTAAAAGGATCCATGGAATTCTGTAGAAGAGGTTGATTAGACTGCAAGTGAAGTAGCTGATGCTTTCTTGAACACTCATTGCAGGAAACATTGGAGTCGTGGAAAAGGTACAATTTAGATTTTTTAAACTACCTACATAACACTGCAGTTTAAAAATGTAGTATATTGTGTACAGGGATTTGGAAAATCTGGGAGAGATGACCGTGTTTATACAAATACATGTCTTTCAAAATAGCAACAACATTGAGAATGTTGCATTAGTTATGTCAGGAACCTATAAGGGAAGTGGAAGAGCATTCAATAGAAGCATTAAATTTATAAAAATAAAAGAATACTTTTACCAATGGTTGGTGCGTTGTGAACATTTGTAACTGAATCCTGTTAGTAATTGAAGGATATAAAGAATTTTCGGTGTATAATGTCTTCCCCAAATAACAGTAGAGATCAAGTAATTAATTATTTAAGAATAGTTAGATAGTTTTGTGAATCCACAAAGGAGGGGAGAGTTAGAACTATAGAAAGGTTACAGCACAGAAGGAGGCCATTTTTCTCATTGTGCCTCTATTGACTGAATAAACTTGTTTGCCCATTCTAGTGCCACTTATGAGTACCTGTTCTGTATCATTGCAGTTCACCCCTTTGGGTGCGGGTTCAAGTTCCTTTACGTGGAGATGGTGCGATAGAGAGGAGAGGCAAGCAAAGGGATGGTTGATAGGCAGAGAGGGGGATTAATGCTGAATTGTTGCTAATGAGAAGTGAAAAAAGTTAGCTATGCTGGGAGTAACCCGTACAGAACAGGACCTCAGAATGTTGGGAGTCCGGGTAATGAACCTGAATTCCGATCATCTGCACAAATGCCACCATTTCCCAGATGCTTTCAGTTCTGATGAAGGGCCACTGGACTCGGCATTAACTCTCTTTTCTTGCTAGAGATGTTGTCTGACCTGTTGAGTTTTTCTGGCACTTTGCTTTTTTTTTCATACCTCCAGCATCTGCAGTTCTTTATTTTCCTTTAGAAATTCACTTTTCTCAGTTATATACTAAGTAGTGTGGATGGGAATGTAAAATACCATGATTGATGGCAGCAAACATATGCATTAGGAGAGGACTAAGCAAGTTGGTCCTTTGAACCTTTTCTTTTAAATTTATTCATGGGATGTGGGCCATCTCTGCTAGGCCAGCATTTATTGCATTTACAAGATGTTCTTGGAAAAAGTGGTGAGGTATCTTTTGAATCGCTGCAGTCCTTTTGCTGTAGGTCGACCCGCAATGCTGTTAGTGAGGTATTCCAGGACTTTGACTCAGTAACAGAGAAGGAATGGTGATATATTTCCAAGTTTGGATGGTGAATGGCTTGGAGGAGAACTTGCAGCGGGTGGTGTTCACATGTCCTGTCCCTCCAGATGGTAGTGTTCGTGGGTTGGAAGTTACTGACGAAGGAACCTTGGTTAAACCTGGTAACATCCAGTATGTTGATAGTGGGAGATTCAGTGATGGTCACTGAATGTCAAGGGATGCTGCTTAGGTTCTCTTTTGGGATGTTCATTGCCTTGATCAAATGCATCTCCTTCATTCTCTTGGGGAGTGCATTTAAGATTGAAACCATTGGTTCTCAACTCAGCTGCCAACAGGAGCAGTTTCTCTCTACCTACTCTGTTCAGACCCCTAATGATTTTGAACATTTAATAAATGTCCTTTGCACTTGCTTTTCTTTAAGGAGAATAGCCTCAGCTTTTCCACGTAATGAAGTTTCCTATTCCTGGAACCGTTCTTGTATAAATTCTTACTGCACTTTATCATAGAATCATAGAATCCCTACTGTGTGGAAACAGGCCCTTTGGCCCAACAGGTCCACACCGACCCTTGGAGCATCCCACCCAGACCCATCCCCTATAACCCACACACCCCTGAACACTACGGGAAATTTACCATGGCCAATCCACCTAGCCTGCACATCTTTGGACTGTGGGAGGAAACCGGAGCACCCGGAGGAAACCGACGCAGGCACGGAGAGAATGTGCAAACTCCACACAGACAGTCGCCCAAGGCTGGAATCGAACCCGGGTCCCTGGCGCTGTGAGGCTGCAGTGCTAACCACTGAGCCACCGTACATATCCTTCCTACACCGTTCTGTCCAGGGTTGGTTGTGGCCAAACTAACACTTTATACAGGTTCATTCAAACTTCCTCGCTTTCATCCACCGTGTTTTTATTTATAAAGTACAAGATTTTGTATATGTTTAACTAATTTCTCAACCTTCTTTGTCACTGTCAATGATTTGTGCATGTGTATTCCCAAGTTGCTCTGCTCCTGCATTCCCTTTATAATTGTATTCTATAGTTCTGATTGCCTTTACAGATTCCTCCCATCAAAATATTAGCATTTCGCACTTCTGTGCTTTAAATTGTTCCGGCCATGTCTCTGTCCATTCTACCAAGTTGTCAGTGTCCCCTTGAAAACTGTGATCGTTCTCTTCGCTGAAAAATTGGAAAAGTCCATTTCCAAAGCGGTCTAAAAGTCTGTTCACAGTTCACTGATCACACATTGCAGAATAAATCAAAAAGACCAATTAAGGTGTTATCCTCTGCATCTGGAGGACTACACTGTAAATGGGAGGATGCTTGTTATATCTATGCAAAGCCTTTATTAAATTTGACCAAATTTCAAGTATTGTACATAGCTTCAGGCACTACACTTTAGACCTTGGAAGGAGTGTATTGTAGTTTCAGCAGATGGTTACCCAAAATTCTAATTTTCCCTGGATTATGGAAGTTTGTTCCTATGTTAAAGGATGAGTTGATTGAGGTCTTTAGGATTTTGAAGGAATTGATAGGGTTGGTAGGTACAAACCTTTTCCGCTGGTGGGATGTGTAGCATTAGCGTAGAACCAGAGCCAGATCATTCAGGAGGAAAATTAGAAAACCTTTCTTCACACAGTGGTTGGTAAAACTGGAACACTCCCACGTAGAACAAGCTAGCTTAATTAACATTTCGGATCTGTGATTGACAGACAAGAGGCTTAGAACAGAGATGGGTGGATGAAGTTAAAATATAGATCACATTTCTTTGATTTCATAGAAAACCAACTGAATGGTGAACTCCTGTCCCAGTCTGCATGAAGCACAATTGATAGATGAGAGGCCCCTGCTCTATGACATAATTTCAATAATTTGAGGATTAATACAGCTTGCATATCAGTGTTGGATCTTTGATTATGTTTGTACAAGAAAACATTGTTATGACTACCAATGTTGTCATTAAAGCTTATGTAAGGAGGAAGAAGCTGTGACCTTGGATGTTATTATTGAAGCTTATTTTAATCTTGTTAACAGAATCTGTAACAGAGTCAGGTGAAGATGATGATGATGACAATGATGGCTGTTATCTCCATCCTAGTCTTTTTGCATCTAAAAGTAGCTCCAGGTTGGAAGAACTCACAAGGGTGAGTATCCTCTTGGTATGATTTTACAGTGGCTTCATATCAACACGGTGTATAATTTGATTTTTGGTAAGTTAAAATGACTACAAGTCAGATTCAAACAGTGACTGTGCTCAATCTGTGATATGTTTCGAATTTGGTGGAACCATAAAATGTTTATACTGTATATGTATGTGGATAAAGTGAATGTAATGGGACTATTTACCTTAAGCAGTTGGTGACTGAGCATAAAAGGGTCAAAAGATTGGAGGAGAAATCGGGAAAAGTATTTTCACCCAAAGGGTGGTAGGGATCTAGAACTGCCTAACTGAAAGGGAGTAGGGGCAGAAACATCTCATTTAACATACCTGGATTTGCCCCTAAAGTGAAGTAAAGTGCAGGACTATGGACCTTATGCTGTAATTTGGGATTAGACCGAGTGGTTTGTGTTTTTGGCTTACATAGACGTGATAGGCCAAATGACGTTTTTGTGTGCTATAAACTTTCTGTGATTCAAGAAAGTCAAATCGTGTTTACAATAGTTTTATCCTGCTGTAAATTGAAGTAGAAAGCTTATGCTCCAATTATACAGGGAGCTGATCAGACTACATCTGGGGAATTGTGCACAGTATTGCTCACGTTATTTGTGGAAGGATATAAATGCTTTGGAGGCAGTTCACAGAAGGTTTACCAGGTCCAAACAATGTTTGGAATGAGGAGTTGTCTCATGAGGAAAGGTTGCGAAGGCTGGCTTGTATCAGTTGGAGTTTAGAGGAGTGAGAGGCAGCTTATTGAAATATGTAAGATTCTGAATGGTCTTGATAGGTAGATATTATGGAGCAGTTTCCTTTTAATGGAGAATCTAGATCTAGGGGTCACTGTTTAAAAATCCAGGTCATCGATTTAAGTTTGGAAATGGATTTTTTTTATTTGAGAGGTCTGAGTCTTTGGAACTCTCTTTCGAAAAAGTTGGTGGAAGCAGAGTACTGGGAATATTTTTTAGACTGTGATAAATTCTTGTTAAACAAGGGGGTGAACAGTTTTCGGGATAGGTGGGAATGCAGATTCGAGGTTGCACTTAGATCATCTATGATCTTATAGAATGTCAGAGCAGGGCTTGATGTGTCAAATGGCCTACTTCTGCTCCTAATTTGCATGCTTGTATGGAAACAGTGTATTGTAACCTTAAATTTTGATTGGCAGGAGAGTACATGTTGATGTTGAATATTTCATTTCAGCCTCTGAAAGTAATGGATCCAGACCATCCCCTTGCGGCTTTAGTACGCAAAGTACAAGCAGATGCCAAAAATGTGCAAAAACAGCAAGAATCTGACAACTCGGAAGCAGCAGCAGCTGCAGTAGAATACACTGCTGCAGATTGTAAGTATGCAGAGAAGTGCTGGCATTTCAATTCAGTATCTGAAATTAGACTTAATGGCAGTTTAATAGATTTTTTTCCCCTCTTCCAGCTTTCTGTCATTATATCTTGACGACATTCATTCATGTGTAAGCCTCTTCCATATGTGGCATGTGCTTTTTTTAAACACGTTCATTTGCGGAGATGTTCACATTGTCGGCAAGATCAGCATTTAGCACCACCCTGACAGCCCTTGAGAAATTTGTGGTAGTGTGCCTGCTTGAATTAGCAGAGTTTGGGTTTGTGAATTCCATTGCATACAGAGTTCCATGACCCAGTGACATTGATAAAATTATAACATCTGTTCAAGTCAGGACACTGAGTGTCTTGGAAGGAAAATTCAGTTGTCATCTGCACCTGCTATATTGAGGGTAGGGAGGTAATTTACAAGAAGCCTTGGTAAGTTACTGCAGTACCTTGTGTAGGTAGAGCTAGGTAGAGCACATTATATCTATACTGCGCTGGCAACAGAATGGGTGTTCAAATGATGGATTAGCTGGTACTGAGTTTAAGTGACGCTACAGTTGCACTTCGGGCAAGTTTAGCTTCCCCAATATTGACTGGAACTCCCTTAGAGCAAGAGGTTTAGACGGGGCAGAATTAAGTGTGTCCAAGGGGGTTTCTTGAAACAGTATGTGGATAGTTCAATTAAAGGAGGGCCATACTGGATCTTGTACTGGCTAATGGGCCTGGCCAGGTGCCTGACCTTTCGGTGGGAGAGCATTTTGGAAATAGTGATCATAACTCCTTAGGTTTTAAGACAGCTATGAATAAGGATAAGTCAGACCTTGCAGAAAGGTACTAAATTGTGGTAGGGTAAATTACGTCAGTATTAAGCAGGAGCTAGAAGTGTTAATTGGTTAGAGCTGTTATCAGGCAAGTCCACATTTGATGTGTGAGAACTGTTTAAAGACCTGCTGGGGAGCTGGTGTGCCATATCCGTTGCTCCAGATGTGGCCTCCTCTACATTGGTGAGACCAAATGTGGACTTGGTGACAGGTTTGCGGAATAGCTGCGCTCCGCACACTTTAATCAACAACACCTTCTGGTCGCCAACCATTTTAACTCCTCCCACTCCCTGGGTGATATGTCCATCCTGGGCCGCCTCCAGTGCCACAATGACGCCACACGCAAACTAGAGGAGCAACACCTCATATTTGGCCTAGGGAGCCTGCAGCCCGATGGCCTAAACTTGGAATTCACCAGTTTTAAAATCTCCCCATCCCGGCCTCATCCCATGTCCAAACCTCCCTCTCATCTACGTCTCCTTGACCTGACACTACCTGTCCATCTCCTTCTCTACCTGTCCGCCCCACCCTTTCCACTGACCAATCCCCACTACCTCACCTGCATCCACCTATCACCATCCCACCTACCTTCCCCCAGCCCCATCCCTCTTGCCTTGATTTATTTCCCAGCTCCTTTCCCCCTCCCCAGTCCTGATGAAGGGTCTAGGCCTGAAACGTCAACTCTCATGCTCCTCTGATGCTGCCTGACCTGCTGTGTTCCTCCAGCTGCACACTCAGTTATGAAGAAGGAATATTTATTGATGAAGCAGCTGAAGGTAGTTGGTTGTGATAGATATTGAACCTTGAATCTTTGAGCACCTGATCTAATACTTAAACACGCAACACGCTTATATGCAATCCTTTATACATGATTGCATGTTGTATGCAGTGTTGTCTTCCTTGCTGAGTTAAAGATATTATTGCTATAGCAGAAATGCAGCAAAGGTTCGCCAACAGTTGCTTTGATCAAGGATTTGCCTGTAAGGAAAGATTAAATAGACTGAGCCTCTATTTTCTGGAATTTAGAAGAATGAGAGGTGGTCTCATTCAAACACACAAAGTTCTTAGAGGACTTGACAAGGTAAATGCAGGAAGGATGTTTCACTTGGCTGGGTGTTCTAGAACCAGGGGAAACAGTCTCAGAATAAGGGAATAGGCTGTTTAGATTGGAGGTGAGAAATTATTCACTCTGGAATTCACTTCTAGAATTTTATGCCCCAGTGATGTGGAGGTTCAGGCGTTGAGTATCTTTTTAAAATTCGTTCACAGGATAAGGGCATCACTGGCTAGGCCAGCATTTTATTGCTCATCCGTAATTGCCCAGAGGGCAGTTAAGAGTCAACCGCATTGTTGTGGGTCTGGAGTCATATGTATAAGCACGACCAGGTAAGGGTGGCAGTTTGCTTCCCTAAAGGACATTTAGTGAACCGGGTGGGTCTTATGAAATCGGTAGTGGTATCGTGGTTATCATTAGGCTCTTAATTTCAGATTTTTATTGAATTCAAATTTCACCATCTGTCACAGTCTCTGGAACATTATCTGCGTCTTTCGATTAATGGTCTAGTGATAATACCACTAGGCCATCACCTCCCCAACTTGATAAGTTTGAAGGAATTCAAAGGCTATGAGGATAATGCTAGAAAATGTTTTGAAATAAATCTTGGCTGATGTTCTAATTGAATGAATGAGCATCTTTTGAAGGGCTGTTTGGCCTACTCCTGGGCCTATTTCTTGCATTCAGCTGCTCACAAGATATTTATATGCAGCAATATTGATTTGACCCATCATGGTTCATCCACTTAGTAAAAGCAGCCACTGTCCAGTTGTTTCTTTATATCACAGCTGTATCTGGCATCTCATTGCTTGTGTTGATTATTCTCCTCTTTGTATGAAAAAGAACATTATGAGAACAGTCTCAAGATTGTTGCACATTAATTTGAATCCTTGACTCACCTCAGCATTTTAGTTTGAAACAATTTTCTGGATTTGACTTCTCAATACAGGTCATCTCATATTTCACGTGCTTTTAAGATTGTAACCCCTCCCACAAGTACCAAAGCCTTTCCTCACAATTTTAACTCCTCACTACATGTCCAGCAAATGTGTTGCATCTGACCAGCACTGGACTGAATACTCAAGATCCAGCCTGACCAAAGTATGCTGTGGTTTGAGCATAATCTCCACTAATTTTATGCTTATTGTTTTGGTTCTAGCCCTGTTGATTGTGATGCTTCGATGTGTTGAATATCAAATTAACTAAGATTCATGAGCCTCATTTGTCTTAAGCAGTAATAACAGGGTGGGATTTCTATTCCATTCATGGATGACATCAGTTGTCAAATTTATCTTTCTTGTGTGTAACACTTTTCATTTGTATTTCCATTATATTTCATCTGTCCAACTAATTATCTGATTTCTAAGCTGCCTCTTGTTTAATATAATTTCAAACTTAGCTGCAATGCAATCTTGCATTGATATAGTATCTTTCATATCCCAACACCCCAGTGCACATTAGAAGGAATAACAAGCCACAGGAGAAATCTTAGGGAAGGAGATGATTATGTGTTGAAAATTAGATCTAAACTAAAAAAGAGCTAGCTAAAACATCTGCCATCAACTATCTGGTGAAGGTATGAGGATGGACTCTAGAGGGGATGATATTGCCTGAAGGGCTTAGGAGGTGAAGCAGTGGGAAATTTTAAATAAATTGCAAGGATTTTTAATTTCCATATTTCTATATGCACATGCCTTTGCTTTGCTGCACGTTGATTTCTCCTCTTGATCTTGCATTAGCCTGGGCCTTGAAATACTGTTGTGTGGGCAGGTGTGGCATTCTGAAAGCTATGTGATGTAGCATGTTTGAGTTGTGTAAGTTGGGAGCTGGCAAGAATGAGCCAGAGCTACTAGAAGATAAGGTCAAAAGGTTTAAAGGCTGATATAACTATAATCATTTTCATATTCAGAAATTACTTTGAAGGATCTGAGTTACAATCAATCAATGAAGTTGTTGATGAAGATTGTGTGTTAAAGGAAGCTTAAGTAGGTTGAATAACTTTGGGGAGGCAATGGACTAGTGGTATTATCACTGACTTTTAATCCAGAGACCGAGATAATGTTCTGGGGATCTGGGTTCGAATCCCGTCATGGCAGATGGTGGAATTTGAATTCGATAAATATGTGGAATTAAGAATCTAATGATGACCATGAATCCATTGTGGATTGTCGGAAAAACCCATCTGGTTCACTAATGTCCTTTAGGGAAGGAAACTGCCATCCTTACCTGGTTTGGCCTACATGTGACTCGAGACCCACAGCAATGCGGTTGACTCTTAACTGCCCTCTGGGCAATTAGCGATGGGCAATAAATGCTGCCTAGCCAGCGATGCCCTCATCCCTTGAATGAATAAAGAGAAAAGATCCCCAGGCAAGGTTCCACAATGTGTGATTCCGGAAGGGATACCCCAAGTTGCTAAATGAGAAGGGATAAAATTGTTCTCCTTGATTTTTCACCTGCCCCCTTGACTGATTACACCAAGGTTACATACAGAGATGGTTTGAGGGTCTGATTGATTGAATGGACAAGGTAAAAATTGCCTCATCAACATCCAAGTATGTGATTGATCTAAGATTCTTATTTACATCAAAGGTAAACCATAGAATCCCTACAGTGTAGAAGCAGGCCATTTGGCTCATCAAGTCCACACTGACCCTCAACAGCAGCCCACCCTGACCCAAACCCCTACCTTATCCTTGTAACTCTGCGTTTCCCATGGTTAATAACCTAACCTACGCATCCCAGAACACTGTGGGCAATGTAACATGGCCATCCACCTCACCTCAATATCTTTTGGACTGTGGGAGTAAACCCATGCAATCATGGGGAGAATGTGCAAACTCCACACAGACATTTACCCATGGGTGGAATCGAACTAGGTCTGTTGTGCTGTGATACAGCAGTGCTAACCACTGAGCCACCGTGCCGCCCCAAAGTTGCAATAATTCCAGAGGACATTTGGGGCTATTATCTTAGAGAGAGACCTCTGGTGAATTTAACCTGATGGTCACCATGCCTCGGGCAAAATTTGAGGTTGAGAAGATACCACAGTGTGGAGCTGGAGGAACACAGCAGGCCAGGCAGCATCAGAGGAGCAGGAAAGCTGCCGTTTCGGGTCGGGACCCTTCTTCAGAAATGGGCCTGCTGAGTTCTTCCAGCTCCACACTGTGTTATCTCTGACTCCAGCGTCGGCAGTTCTTACTATCTCTGAGGTTGAGAAGATGATACCTTTATGGTAACCTCTGCTGGTTTGGGAATTGGACCTCATGCTGTTGGCATCAATTTGCATTGCAAACCGGCCAACCGAGCTAACTGACCTCTTTTATGTCAACTGTGAACATGGTTATTTAACTGATCTGTAAATTAAACTAAAAGGAAATCAACACAGAGACCAGAGTGGAGATTTTCAAGGATTGTATGATGGAGCAGAACATGAGCCTGTGTCCAGCCAGCAACTGAGATATTAAATCTCAAGAAATGGAAAGTTGAGGTGTATTGGGAAGGTGAAAGTCAGCAAGAATGTGATGTGAGTGGGGCAGCTGAACAAGATGGGGAGTAATGAAGATATTCTGTATATGCTTTCTTTAATGCCTAAGATGAGGTGTCCGGCTGTTTTTTAACTCATCAGTCAGGCCTGGCAAGGTATTTTGAAAGCTAAATTGTTGAGAAAATAATGAAGACAAATGGCTGTTTATTTAGAATTTTCATTTCAGGTGTGGTGAGGAGTTTCCATGTGAATTTGTATTGTCAATTTTTTATTGTGGAATTAATGAAGATATATTTGAGGAGAACGTCTTTACATAAGCTTAAGTTGAAAAACAGCCAATTAGACTGGATAAACACTCAGATTTGTTAGGGGCGGAGGAGGAATCTTGGCAGTGTAGACTTTCCTGATGCATCATTATTACCTAGGTTTTCTTGAGCTTGAGGGGAGTTTTTCTTGAAATTGGCTATTCTGTTTTGTTTGTTTCCTCACTATTGTACACTGGGGAGGGTAGCATCTCCCTATTAAATTTGTATCTCTTGTATCAATAAGTTAGAATGGTGGGAGTAGAAATTGAACCTGTTTTACATATTTTATGATTGTGGATTGGATATAAAAATGAATAACTTAGCAGTACAAAGTGCCACGTGTACTTGGTGCTTGAAATACAAGGGGTCCCCAACTTATAAACATCCGATTTATGAACGCAATTCCATATATGGTTGTACTTTTAAAGACCCCACATACGACCATTTTCTGATTTCTTAACGGCTGCTTTCCATTATCGTGCATTGTGTTCCGATTTGCATATAAGTTGACTTGTAAATGGACACCAAAGCAGAATCCATTCACAACCTAGAGACTTAAACTAGATTAGCTCAGACATGTATCTGCTGTCTAGTTTAAAGAACCAGCTCTGAATTGGTAAACACCCGTGCAAACAGTGTCTCTAACTAGCTTGTCAGGCTCTACAGTTCTTAAACGGCCTACGAGAAGCCATCAAATGGAAGATGGGTGAACTCTTTGTCCTACTTTGCTTAGTGTGAAGGAGGAGTATTGGCCATTCTTGTTCATCCCCTAGAACTTATGTGAGTGCCACTAACAAGTCCTGAGGTGGCCAACTTACTCAGCCCCTACCTCTGAAATGCAGCAGGATGCCTGAGTGACATCTACAGATTGCTGGCTTCATAGTATTGATTCCCAGAACCAATTTTCAGTGATCTTTGAGTTGACCCCTCATTCTTCAGCATTGTCGTTGCACAGCTCTTTTGATCCTGGTCAGGCGGTAACTAGTTTATCCCTTTAGAGGTTCGTTGCACATGGTGTTCATGTTAGAGCTTTACTGAAGTAATGAAAACTAAGCTAATACTTCCCTCTTATCTCTTAGAGTTGCATCTTCACTACTTGAAATATTTATGGTGAGCACGCAATGTTAGAAATAATTTAATGAGCTGTGTTCTACTGTGAGCCGAGTTGGATAGGTATTTACTTGTGGGAGTAGTGAATTGTCTCATTGTGTATCCTTTTAAACTTACCCATATTTATTTTTTAAGCCTTTTATTTATTGTAATCTTAGGTTCTACAGAAGATTGAATATTGAAAGCTCTAGGTGTAAATCAGCTCAGTAATTCCAGTCACCAGTCGATCCTTTGTGATGTAAAAACAAAGAAAATCACCCAGGGGAAAAGAAAGTTAGTGATACCAAAATTAAAATATTGACTCTAGTAAACTTTCCTCAGAAGTTTATAGTTGAAAGGTGTGTTATAAGGAACTGTTTTCATTGGTAGACCAGCTTTTGAAAGGCTGTATCTCTGTGCTTGTTAATATTTGCATGGGAAAAATTTAAATACGTGCTGTGTTGCAGCAATTTGCTTATTTGGTGTTTTTATTATGCAAGATAAAATGAGATCTCTCTGTCTCAGCAACACGAGTAGGCTTTTCTTCCTCCACAGCTGACCAGCTTTTGACCCATTACAATTAGTGATGCCTTGAGTAGAATTATGGACCTTTTACTTAATACTCAGCTTCAGTTATTGGCCTATTATATATGTTCTGTGCCTCACCTTTGGGTATCTAAGGTTATAGATATATACAAGTACTATGCACTGCAATGCAATGCTCTGTCTAGTTTGTATTTACCCAGAATTTAAGGTATTGATCTTATTGTTTCCATGTCTTTCAGTTTAGAATGGCTGTATTGCAAGAATAATGGAAGTATTGGCAGGGGAATAATTCTCTGGGTTGTGTGGGGCATGTAGACAATTACTTACCTATTTGTAGTCTTGTCATGTAAGCTGATTTGGGAACAATGTTCTTGGCGACCCCACCTAATCGGGTTAACAAATTTATGCTTTCTAGTAGAATTGATTGTTGCTTCAAAATTAAAGTAACTGCAACTTCATGAGCAAATAGATTCTACTACAGGTCTAATGAAGTTTGATCCTGAGTCATCTTTTGGCACTGCACTCTGTTCAAATCAGTTAGTAAAGCCAGGAAGACCAGTTGAAAAAAACGCAATTTATCTTTTACATCTTGGAAGGTTAATCAAATTGATTTAATAAGATAATTTATGTCAAGCAAATTATTTTAGAATAATAGTTGAATCCTGACGTGCAAAACTAATTTGTCAAAAGTTAATTTCTGAATTAGGATTGAAGTAACAAAAATAATCTATTTTCAGATAAAATTTAGTTTGCTAACTTTTTTAGATGTAACTAGTCTAATAGAATATATTGATTATTAGCTATTTAATCTGTTTGTTTGATCTAATGAATATTTAAAACTATTTAAATGATTATAATTAAGCATCTAAAGATGTATTGTTCAGTAAAAGCACTGAGCAGTGATCACGAATGACTGTTTCATTTTAATTTTTTTGGAATATTGTGTACATGGGAAGAGAACTTATTATGGAATTCTGTGTTACAGCAGCAGTGACAACCATGTATTATGGGTATTACATGATGCCTGATGGTACATACTGCCTAACACCGCCACCACCAGGAATGGAAGTTTCTAGTTATTACAGCACCGTACCTTCAGAGATGGCTGTGCCAACTACAACTGGGGCATCTGTATCAACGTCATCTGGAACTGCACCTCCACCACACTCGGAAGGTGACAGCAGTAATACCCAGGTTCCCTCTTCTACAATCACAGTCAGGTAGGACATTTGAAATTCTGATCATCATACATACCTGACCCTAATCTAGTTTGCTTGTATGTACACTATTGACCTGGATTGTTGCTCTAATTACAGAGGATCTCTGCACTTTGGTTAGAAACATTGAGATGCTGTCTTTGCTTTTCGCTAGGCCTGTCTAATAAGTGGTTAGTTGAAGTTCCTCCATGGAGCTGAAGCAAGATATGTAATATATCAGGAAAAAGTTACTTTAATGATGCAAAGTATTAAAAAGAGTTTTTTTATTGGAGTGAAGAATACTAAAGTGGAAATCAGACAGGAGAACATTTTGTCTAAGTCTGCAGCGTTATTTTGGAAAATATATTAATCTTCGTGAAAATGTGAATTCATTTAAGTCATGTTATCACTGAGATGGGAGGAGTGCACTGTCTTTCTGTAATCCCATTACTGTTTGGATCACCATGTAAGCGCAAATGTAATTGTTTTACTCAGTCCCCAATATGGCCATTTGCTTCTCTATTTACTTTCTCTACATTAGACATAAAATTTAAAAATCCATCAAGTAGATTTCTTTAATTAGCGCAAACTCTTGCTTTAATGTAAAACACAGATTCATGATCTTTGAGAGAGATAATTTCTCCTCATCTCTTTTAAATCTGCCACCCCTAACATCATGATTTCTCGTTCTAGTTTGCCTTGCAAGAGATAACCTCTGCTTTGTGTTTACGTTGCCAATCCCTTTTAACATCTTATGTATCTCAATTAAATCTCCCCTCATCCTTTTAAACTCTAGCAACTATAGGCATAAACTCCTCAATCTGTCCTCATGAAACAAGCTTTTCATCACTGGAGTTAGTGAACTTTCTGTGAACTGCCACCAATGCAATCACATCCTTAATTGAAAATATAAATGTTCACTCCTTTAAATCAAGCAAAAGCACAGAAATAACCTCACTCACGCACGCACACGAACACCATGTAAGGGGAAAAAATACGGGTTTCACGCTGCAGAAATTCTTTGTGAGGGGCCGGGTAAAAACACTTTCGACCAATTCTTGAAGGCAAAAAATGGATAAGGTATGGAATGTTCAGTTGGCTGTCAAACTGATATTCTGAAACATAAAGACACGTCACCAAACATGGACACACATCCTTGGGAGCTTTGCCAATACAGCTTACTGACAAAGTTCAGTATCAAGGATTCTTCTAGATACTCTGCAGGAGGATATTATTCGGACTAGTCCAGAGCACCACACTGAACCCACAACAAGATAATTTTTAGAAATAGGAGAGCTGAGTTGAAGACTGTTTTCCTTGCCCAGGCTGATCATCAATTGAAAAATCTAATCTATCTCCAGATCAGAAGATATGACCTAACAGCCATAAACCCAGACAGGACTCTGCAGTAAGCAAACAGCTGACAAACATTAGACTTCCAGCAAATGTTTTGTCTTGTTTAAACAAGTGTCCCATTGTTCCTCTGAAAAACTCCCAAGTTTCCACAATTCTTCAAACACAGAAGGCTGTAAAAATGACAAAATCTGAAGATCTTCATAACATGTGGTAAAATTTCCAAATTAATTATGGTAATTCAGCCACCTTTAGTATTGCTGTAGTTTATTCTCACCTCTCTTCCTTCTCCTGCCACTCCCAAAATTATTAAGAACTTCCGCAGTACAGCCTTGCCTGTCCACTTGCCTCAAAATTCTACCCCTTACCCAGATATTATTCCCAACAACGTTCACTTTAATTATTTTAGTCAAATGCTTGTAAGGTCCATGTGTAGCAGCAACTTTCGAAGTGGAAGTCAGTACCCTGTCAGGTGATTAGTGTGCATGAAACCTCTGAGCAATAAAGCTGTGCAGCTTAGAGAGAACATTATTCCGAATGCATCTTCCCAGCTCCTGCTTGCAACCCCTGCCCCATCTCTAGCTGCTCTTTTCCCAGCTTTAGCACTCCTCTCATGCTTGTATGTTCCACTGCATCCTGGACACCTTGTCACTGTTTAAACCCACTCCTGGTTCTCGTGAACTGCTGTCTTCATGCAGATTTTGAGCTCTACAAAAGGGATTATAGAAAAAAGCAGTGTGTGCAAATCAAATAGGCAGATTAAGGCAAGACAAAGAGAGAGTGGTGGTCAGAGCAGAAAAAGAAGTGAATACAAGCAGTGACAAAGAAATTAACTCAACAAAAACTGCAGTCAAAAGATTTGTCAAATTAAGACACTCGGTACAAAGACGGAAGCAGGAATTTTAACTGTTTGGTGGAAAATCACTCATGGGAATTTCCATGAGAAACTCAAGAAATAACTGCTTGTTTGGTCTCCTACATGCCACTACGATCAGTTTCCACCAAAACAAGCCTGAAGAGGAACCTGGCTGACCAATGGCACACAAAACTCATCTGGCTCTGTGGTCACTTGTTGAGTGTCGCAGTAAGTTCTCATGGTTGGGAGTGAGGAAAGAGCTGAAGGCAGCAGAATCTGCTCCTCATGACTCCATAAAGCTGTGATTAAAACATACCTTTTAGGTCTCCCTCTACCTCTTTGAAGAAATTTGCTTGGAGTTAACCTCCCAGCTTATTGTGTCGTTAAAATATCCTCATATGTCATGTATTAACGAAGATACCTGAGTCAGGCAAGCAGGTGTACTATGATAAAAATGGCACAGGGCAGGAACGGAGAGCAAGTACTGAACTGCTCCATTTTAATTCTCATTCTGTCAGATGGAAGAATTTAAAATTCTCCCAGTGACACAGAATCAAGAGCAGGAAAGCATGAGGGAGGACAGTAGAAGGAGAGAGACTGTGTCACTGACATTTGTCTAGGATGCTGTATCATACAATGTCCCAGTAATAAAATGATATCCCTATTGACTTTGTTGGACAATACCAAAGATTATGAATCAGGAGTTATAAAAGACATTAGTATCTAGCATTTATGATGTATACCATAGATTGTTGCCTGTAAAAAGATGCCTCTTTTGGAGGGAGAGACTTTTATTTGGTATCTTTGGCATTGGAGGCTCCTGTTCATATTAATTTTTGTGTTAGCTTGTGATGAAGATTGCAATGTGCCACCATTCCTATGCCCCTACATACTGCATTATTTCTGTAACTTGCCTATGTTGTACTTTTCAGTGCCCCGACTGTAGTTCCTGTCATTATTCCTCCTCCGCCTGATATTCAACCAGTTATTGACAAGCTGGCTGAATATGTAGCCAGGAATGGAACCAAGTTTGAAACTAGTGTAAAAGACAAGAATGATACACGGTAAGAGATCATTTTGAAATAATTAAAATTTGTTGTATTGTTTGTGATTTACGCTCCATTTATCATTCTTTTATAATGTTAATTAAATAAGTAATTGCTGCAGAATTGTGTACTTTATATAGAATGAAAGGATTTCCATTAGGAAAGCAGAAATAATTTGTGTGATGGTTGAAAATGCACTAACCGTGCAATGTGACTTAAATCAAGTGTTGGGATGCAGTGCCTGGCATTTGATCACAAATCAGGGTGAATTATTTTTA